TGGGAGCACAAAGGGGACATGGGGGTTCCAACACAGGAGGGGGTCATCTACACGACGTAGATGGCCCGAGGTTCATCGGAATACCAGGGATTTCATTTCTAGGGTACACCTGATTCCCCGGCAACTGGTACCTGAGACGGCGTGCGGTTTTTGGTCGGTTCGAGTCCCACACAACCTCCCCATCCATGGGTGGTATCCGAGGGGATTACGGCACAGAAAAAAAAGGTGGACTTAATTTTTTTTTTTGTGTTAGAGGAGGCAGACGAGCAGACGGGTCACCTGATGGAAAGTGACTATCGCCGCCCATGAACGTCTGCAACTCAGGAGTCGCATCGGTCCGGAAATACCGCAGACGATAACCCGTTCCACAGGTTGGTTGTGCGGGGCAAAAAGTGTCTCGAAAAGACAGTAAGCGCCAACTATCCAGGTAATGAGGATGAAAATTTTTCCGTGTGGAACGATGGCGGAAATTTGCGGCTGGTATTAGTCCGAACAATTCCTCGGAGCACTCTCCATGATATATGCGATAGACAATGCAGAGTGAAGCCACATCTCTACGTAACGCCAAGGGATCAAGCCGATCGGAGATGTTTGGGCTATCGACAATTCGAGTCGCTCTTCGTTGGATGCGGTCTAGAGGGAGAAGCTGGTACTGAGGTGCCCCTGCATAGAGATGAGAACAGTATTTCATATGCGGCTGGACTTGCGCCTTATAGAGCTGAAGGCGGTGGACCGGAGTGAAATACTGCCTCGCACTGTTCAGTACACCGAGCTTCTTCGAGGCCAATTTGACCTTACCCTCTAAGTGACCCCGAAACTTTTTGTTCTGATCGAAAGGTCTTTGGTATATGTAGATATAGATTTTTGTTTAGAGATTTTCTTACTTCTTTATTAGTGTAAAATTGTTGAGCGTTTCCTTAATATGTTTATAATAAAATTTACCATTATACCAGAGCCATGCTTCAGCTCGAAAGGAGTGGTATTATGATCTCAAGGAACCAGGCAATTCTTTGAGAAGACCCGAGTGAGACCCGACCCGAGAAAAACCGAGTGAAAGAGGTTCCCAGAGAACAACCCACCCGGCCTGATTCTGGAGGGGAGAGGGGAATCAATGGGCATCAAAGCACTTTAAAATACTGTGAATCTTCAGTTGCAGGTGTCTATGAGAGGCGGTAGTCACTTACCATAAGGTGAACTATCTGCTCGATTGCCTTTCCTTTAGAAAAATCAAAATTTTCCAACAATAAAATTTTAATATTTCTGTCTATCGACTTATCAAAGTGATGTTTTTAGAGGGCGTGTACTTTTTCGTTACTACTTGTACACAAATAATGAGTCGTACGGTTTTTCCTACACGCAAGCAGCCCACTGCTACATCCAATTTTCCAAGGTTGAGACGACATTGCTCTCGTTTTCCAAGCATAGTTTTAGACTCTCCGTCTCTGTTAAACATAAGGTTAGACTGTAGTGTGAAAGAGACAAACTGTTTGCTTCAGTTCGCTATTGCGCAGGCGTTCGTTCACGTCATATCGCACTTTCCTCGTCGGTATGACAAACCGCAACAAACGAACGACTGATTCATTCACTTTACAAGTGGTGATAATAGCGTTAGTTGGTGTTTTAGTTTTAATGTAATATATGTACTATAAGGTAAGGCTTTACTTTTTCGGTTGATTGGTGTAAAACTACTAATAACTACTAACAAATAATCATTCATTTCCTAACTCAGAATACAAAGGTCGTCCACTTTTGAAATCAAACTGTTATTATGTTTTATCAGCTGCAATGTCATGTGATCATATCGATCACAAGGATCTGTGTAATTATCATCAATATCTGATAATGAAATATAATTTTCTATTTACAAAATGTTGTAAATAGAAGCTTATTTTGTTATCTAGGCTTTAAAGAACATTTTTAAATTACCAATCGAAATGGTTTTACAGGGGATAAATCAGAAAGGGTTTGGATCTAGGTGGAAATTATCGTGAGTGTGTACTATCAGAACTGAGATTTAAAAACCCTTGTGTTGACTTGTACAAAAATGTAAATAACTGGCTTCTGCTCATGGCTTCACTCGCGTGTTGTCAATTTTTCTATCAAGTTTGCCTAGATTAAAAGTGTGTACTATTCTATCTATTCTATATCTCTGCGTCAAATTATTTCTAAATCCATTCAGGTTAGCGTTCGTTATTTCTTTCAGCATGACTGAGTAACTAACAGATATCCAGATTTTCGCATTTATTAGTAGTAAGATTGTTTTGCTAACAAAACAGACATCTGCTTGCATCTGTTGCTTTTGAATTCTTGTGATAATTGGTTGTATGTTTCTAAACTTAATGTACTATTTTTTCATCTCCGTTTCTACTTTTTTTTTGTGCGAAACGTATTTCTCATATTTAATTTTTTTTTATATTTAGATTTTCACACTCCTCTATGGTATCACATCAACAGCCTTTAGTAGTCCACTGCTAGACATAGGCCTCTCCTTAGAAAGGAGGTTTTAGCCTACGATACCACGCTGGCCAGACGGGTTTTTAGGGTTTGTTTCAAGTTTTCCTTCTCTTTGTAGTGCTGTTGTCCTGCGTAGTTTGCTGCCACTAAGACCAGTAGCCATGGCAATCAGTAGTCGGCTCTTACGACACCCACGAGATGAATAGGGGTGGTGACACTTCACATTCTTAATCCGTCACCACACGGACACCCCTATTGTATACTGGTACAGACTGTCTATTATTAAGTCTGCCATTGTACATTTTGTACATAAGGTTTGAATAACAAATTCCAAACAATATAAGCCCCTCAGAATTGCTATCTATTTGAGGTATCGATAGATAAGCTACGTCACAATGAGACTCATAAGGAAATTGCTCCATTACTGCGGTCTATGACCGAGTAAGCAATCGAAATTAGTAAAGGAAAAGGAATGGAAAAGTAAATACAGTAATGGGAGAAAAGGTTGATGGAATAACTTACTAATTGTTTTAGAGATAATTGTTAAGACTTTAGTTTAAAGATATATATAAGAAAGTATACGAAAGTCTTTAAAGTCCCCAGGAACAAATCCCTCGCGCAGGAGATTTTCTTTAACAATAAAATAAATTTATATGATCATCGTCCCACTTGGTATGTGATGTTGGCAGAAAAATCTGTATTTTTGCATAAGAGGCCCGTTTGCTGTAGACAATAGAAACAATGGCCACATAACATGAAGTGATTCCCTTGTGTAATTATTACTCATGTATTTACCTAACATATTTTAATCAAAATAACAACTATGTTCACAAAATAATGGTGTTTGACTTGTTTATGTGTATGTACCCATATAAATTAATTATGACTCACCTTTATAATCATTGTAGTAAGCAAGAATAGAAAAAACATTTATACATTAAAATTAAAAACTTAATGTCTTAACATTCTTTCAAAAATTTGCGACTGGGGTCTTAATAGGTTTGTTTAAATTATATTTACGTAACTTAGCTCGTAGCAAAAACAAAATTAGTATTTACAGCATGGAAATAAACAGTGTAAGTGATTTAAAACAAATTATTAATCTAGACTTGAATTATATAATATTTTCCAGATAATCCAAGGTCTCCTTGTTTTTCTCTTTTTAAAAAAGACAACTCCCGCACTATGAATATTATCGTGTCGCAGGGGACTTTACAGACGTACATGAAACATCTATACTCAGAACTACAATTTGTTGATCACATAAAGTGTCGTCGACCGCTTAATCCACTACGCCATCCGTGCAGGTCTTTCTCGAAAACATTAAATGTCTTATTTTCGAGAACATTAGATGTAATTCATACTTGAAGAGGCCTTCTAGCGGCTGTACCTATCAAATTTCTTTCTTGCTTATAACATTCTTAACTTTAAATATATATTTTATTATGTAATAGTCTTATCTAGTTCGGGCTTCTCTCATCGTTCTCTTAAGAGGCAAACTTTCAGAACCATGCAGGACGGCAGGTCGAAAATATTAGAATAGAATGAATAGTGTTACAAAGACTCAAGTACTGCTATGTGTCATTGTTGTTTTTAAAAAAATAACTCTTTAGAAAACATATGATAAGACTATTATGTGCTATTCAGAATACACAAATTAATAGAAGTGTACGAAGATGTTAGTCATAATGGTATTGATAGCACAACCGAAGTTATGCAACAGGCTATTTATTTCTTACATAATAAAAATAACTAGTTAGGTCATTTTCTTATGTTTGCACCGACATGAATCATAAACATCATAATAACATGTTTATCAAATATAATATCCAATTTTACTAATGGACGTGGATATTATTCAAATAAATATCCACGTGACGTCGGGCTGTTAATTAAACAAATTGTATTTTATTCTTTGTTTATTACAAAATAGAGTTCACAGTATTTAATTTTTAGTTGAGTGTATAGAATCAAATTTACCTGCGCAGTATCGTTATCAGATACTTTATCTATGTTGATAATAGTGTGTTGTAGGTAGAAGCGAGGTGTGTCATAGTGTTTATAACTACCAAGATTCTACTGACAGAATATGATGTAGACAGAGTGCTTACGACAAATCTCAAAACTCGTACCAGAATGTTTCACGCTAACTACTCTTTCTATTTCTACTGATAAATAAAAAATAATAATTGAAAAAGCAATATTCCTCATTGTACTTTAGTTTAATTAAATGTATGACTTATTTTTATCATTTTAACAAATTTTTTTCATGTTTTCTTGTCTACTAAGTACAGTAGATATACTTATTTAATGAAAGTATTAACAATAGTGAAGGGGTTGTAAATTGTGATACATTTAATTGTGTCTAAACTCCCATATTATAAGAGGTATAGAATACTAATCTAGTCTTCATATTTGTAGCATGCCTATAAAATAGGGTTATAAATTACCTTCACTTTGTATTTTCACGAGCGGCAGTGTATTATGAAACAAGCACCTTCTAATACATTCCTGTCGGTTTTAGTTAAAGAAATCGGTACAAGAAAATGGGGCTCTGCTTCTCGTTCGACTGCGGTGACTGTGACATTTGCTGCAATCCTTGCTGTTTAGCGCTAAGTGCTTGCTGCCTGGTGCCGTGCCTGTGTCCAAACGCTTGCGGTCAGCAACAGCCCCCACCACAGACAGTCACAGTTGTGCAACATCCACCTATGGTCATAGAACAACACCCACCTCCACCTGGCTATCCGTATCCACCACCTCATGGATATCCACCACCACATGGTTACCCCCAGCCTGGTGGTTACCCGCCACCTCCTGGGGCGTACCCATACCGTACGTAATAACCAACGCGATTGGAATGAAATGGATTTTATTTAATTAAGGTAAGAAGTGTGGACGGCCATTTTATATTAGCCGCTTAGTAACATAGGTATTAATGCTATTGTAGATTGTAGTCACAAGTAAGGGCAATATGTACACTAATATTATACAGAAGTACTCGTATATAGACAGGATTGGACGGCGCGGCGCTGACAAACTCTTTTTGTCAGATGGTCCATATTTTTTGTTATATTTTTAAGCCTCTGCAGTAGATGCAGTAGTCTTATAAATTTGTTAGTACCTATTGTGTATTCCTACATTCAAAAGATTTTTGTTAGAGATAGGATGATTAACAAAAACCAAAATAACGCGAGCGAAGCCGTAGGTAAACGCCAGTACCTTGGTAAATTAATCAGCAGCTGCCGGAGTGATTCAACACATACATTTTTATATCTCACACTTTTTATCTTAATATGATTAAACTATCGATTGCTTTTAAATTTTTTACACCCATATTGGATTTAATTATAAACAGTATCGTTAAATACGTGTGACATAGGTACGTAATGTGCTCTTCGATAATATCCCTTATAGGTGGTAGTAACTCATAGTTGAAATCGTTACCTTGTAACTTAATAGTTGATTTTTTCCTACTGGGTAAGTAGTTAAAAAATTGTAACACAAATGTATTCGTGTAGACCGAATAGAGTACACAATCTTATGTTTGCATCTTGTTTAGATTTTAATTTAAACAGAAGATGTTATCTGTTTCACTGTGGAGCGCATACAGAGAAATAGTTGTGTAATGTGTAACTGTTTATTTGTTTAATTATTGTGCTACATGTATGGCGATAGCACAATATTGCAAAGTATGTGTGGCCATATTTGAAATAGTTTCATTGCTTTCATCATTTACGTTTTCATCGTAAGTGGTTTTCATTCAAATTTGGAATAACATTAGATAATTACGAAATATTGTGTGAAACTGTTAGATTAAGTCTCATTTAATTATATTTTTAGCATATTAATTTTAAAATTTTAAGTCATGAGCATCTGTTATTGTATGATTTAGTACACTTATAATAAAGTGTTCAACGTCATAGTACACCTACAGTACAAGTTCCATATTCACGGTTCCCGTATTAGCGTTGTCACTATTCGCCGGTAAAATTGCAATCAATTTCCTGTTTTCATGTCTAAAAATTCATTTAGGTGTGTTAAAATGGCTTAGTATCCATTGTTAACGCGTCGGCTTCTTTTGAGTAATGTTGGCACACGCCGTGGTGTGGAACATGCAATGGAACCGATTGTGCTTACCTCAAAGTAAAATATAACTTATTAACAGGATCTACAGTATGTTTTTGAATGATATTGCCGAGTACCGCCTTATAACACTTTTTAGTATATCCTTTGAAAAAGGTTGTCTTCGCCAAAGTCGGTGTTCTTCAAGTTAGCAGTCGCAATAGTTTTGATAGAATCACACATGTTTTGTCCTTAATTAATAATGTCGCGTAAATAATTTAAAGATATAAATAAAGCTCTTATTAAATTGATTTTAGTTTGGAACCTTGGCACGTACAATCCTGTACAAATATCCATTCTGTATTTACTCTTTCTATATTGGCGGTATATTTAGATAACGTAACCAAACGGAATAAGAAACTTTTACTGTAAATTTAAAAAAGTAATCGTTATTATCATCATCAGCTTATCGCCGTCCATTGCTGAGCGAAGGCCTGCCTAAAAGAGCGCCAACCATCCCAAAAAAAGTAGACTAACGTATATACGTAATACAATATTATAGTAGTATATTGATGCAATCAATACCTAAAGTATTATCTGTCAGTCTATTGATATAAGTCGTGATGATAAACCTATGTATTAGACGATTGAACTGTAGTGCACAATAATCTTTCACACACACAAACACACAAATTATAAAATTGTAAGTAGGTATAGCGTAAATCATAAATATATCTATAGAGGTGCTACCTATAGAGGTGCTACCTATAGAGGTGCTACCTATAGAGGTGCTACCTATAGAGGTGCTACCTATAGAGGTGCTACCTATAGAGGTAGGTACAAGTCCAAGATGGAACCCAAGCGACAAACTACAGGCGACATTGCTTGTTTCTATGAATTTATTTGAAAATGGAAAGGTGACCTTGCAGCTGCAATGGTGCTCCACGAACCGAAAAACGAAACACGTGTTGTGAATTCTAATAATTACAACTTTTACACAATAATTTCTTCACTGTGGGAGAGCATTGCGTTGGCACATAATTATGTCCAGGCTTGACCGAAATGATGCCATGGCCTCACAGAAAACCGGTGTTTTCAATCACTCTCTGATTGATTTGCACCAAGTGAGTACGGTTATCGGAGGTCCACCCCAAAACTCTGAGAGTAGGGCACTCAACAAGCGCCAAGGCATTTTCTTCAGTCAGGTTATGGGTAGAGATACTCACTTAACATCAGGTAACCCGCCTGCTCGTTTGTCTCCTAAACCATCAAAATAATTCGCCTTGGAATTGTACTTTGAATACTAGTTAAAGCGAACAGTCTTTTTAAAGATGTTTTAAAGATCTTGCACTCGATGTCGTTTGTGAAAATAAACAACGCAGTAAAAGTGAACTAGTAGTAAAAGTAGGTGCGAATAACATACTGTTATCGAACGTAAACAACCATACCGGTCAACAAACGCTTGGAAGATTTGTACGCCTACCTACCCTGCACCTTTTATTTATTGTACTGCTACCAGTGTATTTCTATTAAAATTATTGTTATTATAGTGATTAAACAAACGAAACATAAAGGAATGAGGAATGTACACTCACACCCAAGATAAACCAATACGCGTTTTATGGGTGTTTCATGTTTTTATGTTATGCTGTTTTTCTTATTTAAATAAATAACAAAAAAAAAAAAAAAAAGTAAACGTAAAATACAGACATAGTCATGAATAGTTTTGCCTTTGTTTTTATTGAAAGTGTTACGAGCATTGATATAATACTTACATAGATGAGTAATTACCGCCTAAAATCGTTGCTACTACACATATGTCCACAGGCATATGCGTAGCAAACGTCAATTCATTATTCAATGTGGCGTCAACCGAGTTGAACATAGCGACACATGACAGTAACAATCGCCAAAATGGCTAAATGCGTAGTGAAAGAATGCGATTCAAGGTCACAAAACATTAATAAATCATGCGGAATTACTTTTCACGTGTAAGTTTATGGTTTTTGTATTGATAATATCGTAAATAAGGCTATAATTGAAATAAAACACTGATAATTGTAATTTAGAATCAGTGTTACCATTAAAAAATCATTTTGGTTTTCCCACATTAGTGGGAGAATTTATAATTTATGAAATAATATGCTTTGTACTGTTTTTAAACATTTTGCCAATAATAATAAAATATAGGAAGAACGGTAGTGGTTAGGGCTGGACCGATCCCTTTTTTTAGGGACCCGTTGAACGTTTTAGGGACCCGTTGAACGCACTGCAAGCTTGGCACTTCTGCCAAGCTCGCAGTGCTGGAGACTTTTGTACAAAAAAATTAATTCATTGTTTTTCTTAATTTATTATCAATTTTAAATAATAATTGTACAAAATAATAATAATAATAATAATAAATGTTTATCATAAAAATAAAAATATAAAATAAAAAAGTAAATAAACATAAATAATTTTTTTTATAAAATATTTTTTTTTTTTTTTATTTGTTTTTTAAATTATAATATAATTTGCAATACACCCTGGGGATTATTTATTATCAGTCAGTTAAGTTGATCATTCACTTTTATTATTAAATGCTATTATTTTTACATACGTAAAAATAAGATTGCATCATGAAAGTAAAATATCCACACAAACTTATAAAAAAGAGTCTAAAAGACAATTGTATACAAAACTGATGCTTCACAGCGCAGTTTGATTTTACACTGAATATAAACCCTTTTAACAAAATATTTCCAGTTATTTTATTATTTATACCTATTCTAGTCAATTCGAAATATATTATTTAGAATATTTAAATTAATTTATTTTATTACAAAATTGTTTAAAAAAAAAATTGTTTCTTAGTTGTTATGGGTAAAATTTCATACGGTAGTCAACACTGGCCCACCATCGTAAAGTTATATCTTTGTCTTTGTCTAATCCGAGCGATGGTATTGTTCTTGTCTCGCGTGTAAATGAGACATAAATATGTTTACTTTCAAATGTTTAGTGGTATCAAAGCTACGTCGTCAAAGTTCAAAAGTGGTTACACTTTTTTCGACGTGTGATAATGAGGTTTGCTTCTCTAGTGTTGTTTTAACTCAATGGTTACGAGTATGTTACGGTTGATATTGAATTGTGAAGGAAAACAAAGATCCCATTTATTTCCTACTAGCTGAGACCCGCGGTGTTACCCGCGTTTGTTGTTATAACCGCGGGCAACGCCGCGGGGCGAAGCTAGTCTAAAAAAAGTAGCCTAAGTTACTCCTTATGTCATCAGCTATCTGCCAGTGAAAGTCCCGTCGAAATCGGTCCAGCCGTTCCAGACGTTACCCGGAACAAACAGACAGACAGACAGACAGACAAAAAAAATTATTTTGGCATATGTACCATGTAAACATACATATGCATTTAGTAAAAAGCGGTTATTTTAATATTACAAACAGACACTCCAATTTTATTTATTTGTATAGATGAAGCGAAATAATTGCTGAGCTATAAGTGCTATAACTAATACAAAGAGAACTAGTAATATTTTAAATGGTGTATTTATCGTAGAACAGTTTGACAATCCCACTTTCTTAACCTTGACGGTAGCTGATGTAATCCGACATGGTCTTTATTTGGTGAGGTCGCTTCGAGGTGTCAATACCACTTCCCACTTAGAGAGTTTGTTAACGTTTACTACCAGTGTTAACAAATAATATAAGTCGGAAGTCTTTGTTATTAATAAAAAAAACTCCGTAATGCGAAGTTAGGGAAATACTGTTTCATTTTTTAAACATTGACAAAGTCAATTATTACTAAACAAAATAAAATTGGCTTAGGAACCGGCCAGAAAAAGGAATTCAATGGTTTTGTGTTTGATTGTGTAGATGTTGATTGTTATTTAATACGTTATATAATATATGTTATATAATATTTTTATAACTTGACCCATATCAATTGTCATCTCTTAATAAGATTTTAATGTCATTTTCCAGGATGGGTTGTAACTTCTCATGTCGTCCATGTTGCTGTTGCTGCATTCCGTGCCTGTGCTGCGACTGTTGCACTCCACCCCCGACCCGTACCACCGTGGTGCACCACGTTACCACAGTCCAGCCATCCCCACACCATACAGTTGTCACGGTAGCACCGCCGGCGACTTACAGATAAACATCCAAAATGGATATTTTTAAAGTTAATTTTAAGCTACTCCTTTTAACTTATTGAGATTTTGCCCATGCGTGCAATCCTATAAAACAGTTTTTGTAATTGTAATTTTTATTTGGATGAAAACTATGCCATTATATATGATATATTTTATGCAAAAGTTTATGATAAATGTTTGAGTGTTTAGAGCGTAAAAGTGCTACAAAAAAGCAATTCTCAAATGTATTAATAATATTAGTTAGAATGTTCTAATAATGCTACAAACATATGTTATCAGAAGGTATATTCTCGTAATAAAAATTCTTTCTAAATTCAGTTTCAATCTACTCTCGATCTCTAAAATGTCATAAAAGTTATTCTCGTAGTAAGGTAATAGGCCTAAGACTAGTAGAAACTATCGGTAACAATAAGAATACTTTTCATAACATGTGTGGGACCGAAAGTAGATTGGAACTGAATTTTGAACGAATTTTTATTATGAGAATTCACCTTTTGTTTATGTCTGCAACAAGTACTATTGATCGTTCCCATATAATTTTAATAACCTGTGCAAACTACGACATCGATAGTTTTTGCTCAAAAGTGACCTCAGTTAAGAGTTATTTAAGTCAGACCTTTTTTGGTAGTGATTAACGTATGTATATATATTTTGTTTTTCGTATATTTGCGATTTATCAATTTTATGTTTTTATTATTATTTCTTATTAGATTTAATATGTATTCTATTATTAAGAAAGCGTAAGCAGTAGAAACCATATCTGTCCATACACTTACTTATAATGTTGTACACAAGTGGAGACTTGTCATTGGCTGACACATTATTATATCATTCACAATTATTTTTATTTTAGCTGTGTCTTCCAAGTTCGTTAAATAAATAAAACAATAATTTAAAGACTCTTTTCAGTAGTGGTCTCAAATGAAAAAAGTACTCATTGTGAAGATTGACTATTTTAATTTTAAAAGTAAACCCCCTAATTTTATTGAATTTGTAAGCAAACGTTGTTCTTAAAGAGACGCTTGACCAAATTATGCTACTGATCAAAAAACTCGATTAAGATAATACGCTGACTTAAAATGTGTCAGTTCATAGCGTTTACAAAACAATGAACATGAATAAAGATAAAGAATCAAGAAAAGACCTTGAATCTGTAAGTACGGTTGTACTTGAGATACATTGATTAAACTACAATAGCTGGTAAAAAAGGCTGGTAAAGGTTTTATGGTATAGTGCCAATGACTTAATATAGGTTCGTTTTCATTCAAGTACAAGATACTTAATAAAAAAGTCTGAAAATTTATCAGAGGGAGATTGTAGGTTAACCTTTAATATAATTTTATTTCTTCGACAGTTTAAGAAACAACTCTAGACTATTCTATGAATAAATATTAAAAGAAACATAAAAAAATGTTTTTTTTTTTATATTGATTGTTTGACGATCTATTTGGCACTGTCAGAGTAGTCAAATGCAATTCGGTAGGTGTGGGATTACCGGGTAGTCTAAACATTTGTATACTTAATAATATGCTGAGGTTTTTTTTTAATCTATAGATTACTGTTCTTTTTTTCATTTGTTTAAACTCGTTTATAATATTATAAAATAAGAATATATAACATATGAACTTTGTGAAAGCTATGTACTTAGTTAAGTTAAGCAGCACAGGGTATTGGCAGCAACAAGTAATTAAGTCTTATGTAATAAAGCGACCAAATATTTATTATATATTGTAAAATGTAAGTCATATCTTTATAGCATATTTTAAAAATGTCATATCACGTTTTTATATACACGCGTAGTATAGAAACCTATCTCTAAAATATTAATTTATTAAATTTTATTATGAAATGTATTTTATCTTTCTTAGATAAAGTTATCCCTCTCTGAGCTATAACCTTACTTAGTTTTATCGAATTATAAGCCATTTACGGCTTTTATAATATATTCTTAGAAATGTTACTGTCTACCAAATTAAATGTCAAAATGTTACCAAAGTAAAAAAAGTGGCGACGAATGTTGTGCAGCAAATAAATTAAAGATACGGTCTAAACCACAGAACAATTCACTGTTCTGTGGTCTAAACCTAACCATTATTTAATTTTATAAGCAAGAATTCAAATTAAATTGCAACGTTGTCAAATACCTACTATTTAAAACGTAATACGACATCTATGGTATCTTAATAACGACCGGATGACGTAGTGGTATGTGTAACGGACTGCTATATCAAAGGTCGCGGGTTCGCTTCCCGCTTAAGTCAAACATTTGTGTCCATGAACAGTTAATGTTTGATTTGTTCTGGGTGTTTCTATGTATGATAAGTATGTATTTACAAATAATAGTAAATTTGTATTTATATCAGTTGTATAGTAGCCATAGTACATGCTCTGCTTTAATTGGGACTAGATGGCGGTGTATGAATGTCGTAGAATATAAGATATTAATTCGAGAATTTAATCATTTCATTATTATTATATGAAATTCCAGCGAACATTCTACTATTGTTTTCGTTACAACTGTTCTATGTGAGCTTAAATGTCACATAAATATAATTAAGAAACCAAATACTGAATTTATACTTGTTAAAACTTTAAGTACATTTGGTACATTAACCGACTTGATGCCTCAGGCATGCTGTACCAATCCTCTATTAATGCAGAGAAATTAAGAAGTACGAGGGGTGATCAATAAGTAATGATAATCGAGTATTTCTAGAACGCACAAAAACCCAAATTATTTTTTTTCTGCTTGCTTATATATCCACTACTTCAGCTTCAAAAAAATCTATAAATAGGACACCATTACCGGGAGATACATTCATTTGAATACGAACTGTCGAAGAGAAAACATCAAAATGAAGAAAAATGAAATAAGAGCTGTCATCAAGTACCTCTGCCTGAAAAAAATGTCTACCAAAGACATACACAGCGACTTAGAGGAAACATTGGGGGAGTCTGCTCCTCCATATTCCACAGTCGCACGCTGGGCAAAGGAATTTAAGCTGGGCAGAACCTCCACTGAAGATGAACATCGCGAGGGACGCCCTTCCACGTCCCTTACTGGAGAAAACGTCAAAAAAGTGGAAGATATCGTGTTGGCCGATCGAAGGGTGACCGTAAGGCATGTAGCTGAGGTCACAGGGATCTCCTATGGCACCGTTCAAAAATCATTGTCAACAAAATGCATATGAAAAAGGTCTCTGCGCGTTGGGTACCGAGAATGTTAACCGACGAGCAAAAAAAGAAACGAGTTGACATTTCGAGGGTGAATCTTCAAAAGTTCCAGGCCGATAAAGAATTTTTTTTGTCGCGTTTTGTGACCATGGACGAGACCTGGATCCACCACTTTGATCCCGAAACCAAACAACAATCAATGACTTGGAAACGAGCTTCCTCACCAACGCCGAAGAAATTCAAAGTGTCAAGTTCAGCGGGAAAGGTTATGGCGTCTGTTTTCTGGGATGCAGAAGGAATTATTATGGTGGAATATTTGGAAAAGGGGGCCACTATAACAGGCTCTTACTACGCAGGCCAAATAAGAAGATTGCGAGAAGCTATTAAGTCAAAAAGACGCGGTAAACTGCGCGCTGGAGTGCTGTTTCACCAAGACAACGCCCCGGCTCACAAAGCCGCAGTTGCGATGGCTGCCATTGAAGAAAAGGGGTTCGAACTGCTCGAACACCCTCCCTATTCGCCAGATCTAGCTCCCAGTGACTTCTACCTCTTTCCTCGGCTCAAAGAACACCTCCGGGGCAACAAATTTGAGGACAATAGTGAAGTGATGGCCGCAGTAGAGGCATTTTGGGAGGGTCAAGACAAAGAATTTTTTTCTAAGGGAATCATGGGCTTAGAAAAATGATACACTAAATGTATTAACTTGCAAGGAGACTATGTTGAAAAATAAAATACTTTTTTTAATCTAATAGTTCTGTTTCATATTGATTATCATTACTTATTGATCACCTCTCGTATATGCACTGAAAAAACATTATAAAAAAATTGCTAAAATATGACTATACAAAGTAGAAATGTGTATGTATATATACGTAGGTATATATATAGGCTATTAAATACCTAGCTGAAGGTTCAGTATACATTTTTAGTATTACATACATCATGTTAAATTGAATGCAAAATGCAAGGATCCAATTCTGTTGTTCTTTTGTTGATCTATACTCGTAATAACGTAATGTAGTGTTAACATTAATATTTCAACATTGCTAATATTAGCGTAGTTATTGTAATGAAGGAATTACCTGATACTTCTATTTTAATTTCCTATTAATAACAGTAGATAGACATTACAGGGAAGCTTAGAGCGCATTTTTACTCGCTTACCGTTTCACATTTTTACCGGTATTATAATCAGAAATAACTTTTGTTTGGCTGTAGAGCCAAACCAAAATTGAATAAGTTCATAAGTTTTGAGGTGAAATATTTATTCAAAACTAAGAAATGGTTTAAGCGTTTCATCATTTTTGGTACTAATGTCCGGACTACAGAAATTATAAATAAATGGCGACACCTGTCATTTTGTTGTTAATATTAATTGAAATGTTATATTTAGTTAATGTTTTATAATTATTTTAAAACAATAAACACATTTAGATCTCTGTGATATCGTGATGTACGTTTTCTCAATAATTCCCTACTATTCGCTTACCAAAAAATCTAGACATCTTTGGATATATTGTACGTATTTTAATCGAGCCTAAAAAAAGCGGACTAATCTGTCTACTACAATGAGGAAGATCAAGTAAATGAATATTCTTACAGAAATTCGTTCCAAACAATGTGACAATCTACCTCTAGGCTACAGTCAAGTGGACAATGACTAGATTAGAAGCTACCGGAAGCTACCGTAGGCTTCTCGTGACTTAACGAAGTCAAGAGAGAGAGAATCCAAAGACCAATGTTAAGAAGCCGATGGATTCAAAATTATTTACAAAAGTATTAGGGCTTAGTCGGTCAAAGAAGTTTATTTCTTTAGCTTTTCTGTTACTTTTTTCTTTAATAAGTTTAATTTTGATCTTTCTGGTTTACAGTTTATGATTGTTGAAAAGCCCAAAAACGAGGTAATTACTGTAAAATATTTAAATGAACCACCAGAACGTTTGTTTTGGCGGTGGCATAGCAACCAAAACATAAGTTTTATTCAGTAATATTGGTTAGTAAGAAACAGCCTATCAAACCTTCGATCAACAATAGCAACTATTGTTGATCGAAGTATCAAACCGTTTAACTTTTAAACTGTGTTTCCCTCGGGTCGAGTTTGAACCATAATCATTTACTAATATATTATTATCTTATACTAATATATATATAGTAAAAAGAATGGTGCAAAGCTCAAAATGTAAACCTAAACGAGCTCCTGACTGTATAATAAAAATAACTGGTAAAGAAAGTTATTGTTTTAATAAAAAAAAACAGAATTATAAAATAATATGTAAAATTAACCTAAATTTTTTACACTTAGTATTATTACAAAACTCTTCAATGTTCAAAGCATTTCTCGTTTCAGTTAGTGGTTGAAAGTAAAAGTAGTCTATCGAAAATAGGTTTTTTTCTACTGAAACTCGTTAGAATACCATTTATCTAAGTAAAAGATAGTGAAAATTCATTAAACGTTTTTGTGAGCACTTGAGGCTGTCATCACTGATTGATGTACCCATGATTAATATATCTGTGTAATGAAATTTTTGAAAGTTTGTACTTTGAAGAAAAACCGATAGCCGATTACCATTACCTACACATACTTAAAACAAGAATCAAAAAGTTAGATATCTATAAAATAACAATAACCTTAAAGAAATCAAAACCTTATATAAACTAAAACAGTATGTATACCTATTATTTTAGGAAAAAAAATCGAGAACCCGAATTAAAAAAAACCTAAAAGGGATAAAAACCTAAAAAAAATACATTTCTAAAAGCTAAAATTTTATTTTTGTTTATAGTATTATAAACTAATTACATCGTTACTATATAAAAGTTACTGTAAAATATAAATTTATATGTAAACTAGCTGAGACCCGCGGTGTTACCCGCGTTTGTTGTTATTACCGCGGGCAACGCCGCGGGGCTAAGCTAGTCAAAAAAAAGTAGCCTAAGTTACTCCCTTATGTCATCAGCTATCTGCCAGTGAAAGTCCCGTCGAAATCGGTCTAGCCGTTCCAGAGATTACTCGGAACAAACATACATATGCATACATATGCATTTAGTAAAAAGCGGTTATTTTAATATTACAAACAGACACTCCAATTTTATTTATTTGTATAGATATAGATAGAATAACTTATAGTTTATTTAACAAATAAATACACTTTCTAAAAGAAAAAAATACTTTTCATTAAATTCAATTAAGTATGCACTTTATAAAATTTGCACCTATCATTCGAAATTTCCTGTTGCATTGTTTTTATATTGTAAACAATGATTCTTTTTATATTAGGTCTTGTAAAAATCAGCTGGACGGGAGGCAACAAACTCTTCAAAGGCATTTTGTACTGCCTCTTGGGAATAGCATTTTTTACCCACTAAGCATTAATGCAGATGTGTACTGTGAAGAACTGGAGAGAATGATGGAGAACCTCTGGTGACAGATTGCTGCGGAACTCAAGCTGAGTTTAAGTATTTCTACAATATAGGTACAAAGATTAAACAAGTATTTAACGTTATTGTTACCCTATAAATTGTGCAGATAAAATACGACTACTGACCCTATATTGGTGACCCGAAGAGGCATTTTTGTGATTTGTGATTCTAGCATTGTAGAGTTAAAAATGAGTGAAATGCAGATTTAATTGCACATAACAGTCGATAATGAAAATGCTTTGAAAATTAAAAACTGACAAGTCATTTGTTTCAACTTTATAATTAAAGTTCATTCGATATATTGATACTCCTCAATGTTAAATGAATTCATTTTCAAATGAATATGCTTGGGGATCCTTTCATTTTGGTGTAAAAATTGCAAAATTACATTTACTTTCCTACCATATTCCTAATTACAGTCCTTCCTGTCTGAAGTTTTAACAGGATAGAGATGTAATTTAATAATTTTTATTTTCACATAATATAGATTGACTACACGATAAGACAAAAAGCTAGATAACAGCTTACGATAAGAGACTGATTGTGATAAATATCGGCCATTTTGTAAAATAAACCAGGAGTGACATTGTTCAGTCAGAAGGTAGCATTGTGGTTCGTTTAAATTAAGAGATTGCTATTAGAAAATGGGTATCTGTTTATCTTTTGACTGCGGTGACTGTGCCGACTGTGGTGACTGTAGTAGCCTTTGCTGCAATCCTTGCTGTTTGGCTTTAAGTGCCTGTTGCCTAATACCGTGTCTTTGCCCTAACGCCTGCGGTCAGCAACAACAACCACCACCACAAAACGTCACCATCATTCAACAACCAGCCGAGCAACCTTACCCGTATCCTCCACCTCAGGGCTACCCTCCACAACCTGGATACCCGCAACCTGGATACCCACAACCTGAATATCCCCAACCTGGATACCCACAACCTGGATACCCACAACCTGGTTACCCACAACCTGGTTACCCTGGTTCGATGTTACGATGAAGTGGATTTTCTTAAGGTAAGCATTTTAGTAAACTAACTAGCACTGGCAGCATGCCATAGCAATAGTAGTCGTTAGTAAAGCAAAACCTTGAAATTATACGTTAATTAATTAAACGGTAATTTTAGTTAAATAGTATTACTAATAGTAGTTACTTATTTGTATATTTATTACACACCTACGTAATTCTTATGTTATAAAATACCAATTGATTGTTAGGTTTTTACTTATCTATAATATATAAATTTATTATTTAATGTGTCTTCATTACTGATTACAAGGAAAGATGAAGAAATATTTAATTACTGATTACAATGAAACTATTATCAGTAGTGTCATTGTAATCAGTAATGAAATAAACACATTTAATAATAGTTTTTTTCATAATTCCTAAACATGTGGCAAATTATCGTAACTATTCAAAAACTTATCGATCGTATATACCCAACTATTATTATTTTATATTTTATCTAAAGATTAATTAGCATGTGTAGCTTTTACAGGAAACACAAAAAAAGTTTGTTACTAAAAATTGTTCGAAAGTGAAAAAATATAATGAAATCTTAATTAAAGTCTATCTGAGTTACGGGGATGAAACCATTTTTAGGGTTAAACATGATTATTAAAAATCCACACCACAAAACTCGGATCGAATAATAATTTATTATTTCTGTAGGTTTAACTATAGTTTCTGCCCTTCTCTAAACAGTTTTTACAAAATAGATGTTCACTAGTCTATAAAGACATGCAGATCTATAACTAATTTAAACCTACTTTTACAAAAATATTTTTACAACTGGTTCTAGACATTACGAACATTATTCCTGTCATCATTGTTTTATTAATAGTGTTAAATTAAAAATCATCATCAATTAATCATCAAATTCATTCTTTTTATTGCTAACCGATTTCGTGCAAATAACCTATTGATGTATATTTTTCAGAATGGTACGCTACGTCTAAAATCCTCTATGTTGCTGTTGCTGAATTCTCTGTTTGTGCCATGATTATTGCACTCTACCTTCAACTTGAATTAGGGTGTGATTTATCACCCATAACCCGCTATATGCAAAGTTACAACTTCCTGCTGCCACTACTAGATCACCGCTGCATTATACAGTTGACATTTAGTAGGATTTTGCTTGATGATAATGTATTAATGTAAGATTATAAACCTTCAATAATTTAATGGTCCCAAAATCAATGGTTAAAATGCACATTGCATTGGAAGTAGCATTTATTGATTGAAATATCACGTAATCGCATTTAACTACCTATGATTGTTTTTTTTTACGGTACAATTTTCAAAGTTTCTTGATTCAAAGAAATTTTGTCAATTCAAATAATGTACGATCTTTGTGACAATTGCAATAACTAATGTTAACAATAATTCCAGCTTTAAGTAAAACACGATAGCATAGCATATACGAGGACTTAAACGTTGTATTAGGTATAAGTATTTGAGTATATTGGGACGAACACGATATCAATATTGTACATACGTATATTAATGATAGTTATATGTTAACATAACATTAAATAAGTAAACTGACCAATGTACAGACTGAACAAACAGTTTATTTTTTATGTATCATAAAATAAATAGCAAAAGTATTTTATAAGGATAATTGTAGGCAAAAATATTTGTATATACATATCTTATCACTATACTTATCTTTTCAACGTTAAACAAATTTATAAAGGTATATCACAATCTAAAGCGATTGTTTATCTTCAAGAGAATTTTTTAAACTTAATACATTTGACAAGAAATTATACCTACTTTATTCAGACAAGCTTGAGGAAAAATGTAACAATTTATAATGCATATTTCATGCACTTTCAGGGCTACAGATCTGCAACCATAAATTAATATTAACAGTAAATGTCTGATAAAAAAATAGCTTCAATTTTTTAAAGAAGAACTTATAGCGTAATCTATGTAATCATAGATAACTATAAAGTTTTAGATAACAAGATTAATTGAAAGCTTCACGTGTTTGCTTTGTTTTAAACCTAAAATAATGCACAAAGTTAATAAAAAAAATAGTTGCAGCTCTATTTCATTCTTATTGTCTTCTAGTTTTTAATTTAAAAAAGACATGGATTTTTTTATTGATTAAATGAAATGTACAATATCGTGTGAAGTGACTAAATTGTACTCTATTTTTAATAATATTAGTGCTACCTTAAAACGAGTACTCCTTTTCAATAACATGCTGATCGTGTAATCGACGCCTGCTCCTTTTTTCAAGTTAATCTGTAACTAAATGACTAATTTGGCCAATGACAACTTTTTTATTCTTATATGTCTTGTCGGTCTCTTACTTGGAAATGAATTGGTGTGGCCATGATTTTCAGGCAACATGGTTGACAAGTAATCACCATTAGGTTTATGTAAATATGTATGAAAAAATATGATCTTGTATGATTTTACGAGTAAGGCCCGTTTTTCAATTATTAATTAGATTTCAATTAAATGAGAAATAGCATTTTCTTTTTTTGAATTTGATATATAACCGTGACAGATACATGCTTCGGCACATGTTGACTGCCTATAAACTCTATTAATTTGCTAGCTTAATTTTTGTTAAATATTTTCTTGAAATGTTTCAACAACAATTCAATTTAAATTCAATTAAATTGAGAAACATATCTCTGTTTGAAGTCAGTCGGTAAAAAAAATGAAATGTTTTTTTAATAATATAAATATTATTCTTTTATAGTATAATATAACAAAAAAAATAATATGGTTTGAACTAGGTACATAATAAATTATTTTAATTTGTATTTTCTTTTATTTTCAAATTGATATGTTTGATAAAGTAATGTACAACACAGATAAAGCTCCTCAGCATAACGTCCGCATATTTTCAATAATTTTACTAGTCCCACCCTTGACGGACCCAGAAGCGCCATGTCATCCGCTTAGCTTATTAAAATACTACTCCATCTAAGTAGTAACCAGCGTGTATACTGCTGAACAAAGCGATCAGTTTATTTATATAGATGTTAAACAAGATGGGTGAGGTTAACTAAATTCCATTACATGTTCTCTAGAACTCATTTCACCTTACATAATTTACTTGATATTTGTACCAATCTATAAAAATACAAGTCAACTGTGTAGGAATACATTGGCGTCACGGAGTTTATACTACAACCTGTATAATCTGCTCCAGACTTTGTTTAATCATAAAACTGCAGTGCATTGCAGCCTAAAATAGACCCTCTCTTAAACCATATTGAGCAACCTGCAATGTAATGTTAAGTTTCAGGTAATTGTTTGACCAACTATCAAAATATTTTAGCTACAACGGTACAGAGATTGCCCTACAGTTGTTCTTATCTGATATGTCAGCTGTTTAAGATAGATAGATATGTAATCTTTATTGCATAATATGGACAGGAAACACATAATGCAGAATACAAACAAAAAAAACACATGTACAATAGACGGCATTATCGCAGTCTGCGATCTCTTACAGGCAACCTTTAGAGTTTAGATGGACCATACTAATAAATAATTAATTAATTAATATTTTCGGTCATCTGACACACAACTCCATTTAGTTTCAACCTAAGCAGAGCTTGTACTGTAAAAGCTAGATTGACTGATATAATACTTATATATATTTTGTTTTGTAAATACATACATATTGTACATAAGAAAACACCCAAACTCCGAAACAAATATTTGCAGATCATACAAACATTTGGTCCGACCCCGAAATCTAACCGGAGAGCTAAGCACAGCAGTCGCATACGTTACCACTGCACCACCGAGGCAGTCTTTTTATATTGTTACAATAACACAGACAAAAGTCCCTAAAATTATTATAGAGGCGTTTATCTACCTTATTGCTTGTACTCGTAGTTTTCAAATACATATTCATACACTTACATATATTCATATAAATATACTTCATACATACTCATACCTATATTATACATAGTTCTTACAAGGATAAACAGTGATCCTTCACGAGTTTCTTAAAAGTACTCCCTGGCTGTACCCGCTTCAACTTCCGATAAAGAATTCCATAGGTGTGCTGCTTGTACCGTGAAAGATGTGTCAGTAAAAGTTGTGATGTCTTGGAATTTCAAGTGTCAGATTTTCCGCTGATCTGAAGTATCGTGTATGTGTGTCATAGATAAATGCGAATCGTTTCTTCAAGTAGATAAGCGTAAAAGTACAGTAAAAAATTCTTTAGAACAGGATAAGAGAATTCCAGCGAAGCCGAATTGGGAGCCACTGAAGTTTTTTACGAAATTCGACAATATGATCATATGTGCGCAAGCCAAAAATAAATCTTATACAGAAATTCTGAAAATCTCAAGTTGATCGAGTTGGTCCTCGTTTAGATTAAGGTAGCTGACATCGGCATAGTCGAGATTTGGTAAGAATTGATTGTGCAAGTACAATTTTACTGGCAGTTGAAAGGAAATAGCGTAGTCTCCTTGGCTTTGAATCTAATTCATACGACATATTTAAAAAAAACAGGTAACTGCACTTAGCTCGTTTTCATGGCATGAGTAAATCTTCGACATACTCGTACAGTTTTAAACCACATGGACAAAAGCCCAGGCACTGCAAGTTACGCAGATTATGAATTCGGTTTTATGTTTTATAATTTTGTTACCTCAGGACTCCGTTATTTAAGAATGCAATTTGGATATTTGAAAAACTGTTTTTAAGCTATTGCACAGCTTCTATCGCGGGCCTTGAGCGTGGAGACCGAATCCAGAAATTCCGTAACGAAAATAACCTAACACCTCCCACTCCGACCGGCACAGCGGTGATACTTTTTAGTTTTGCCATCTATCGATGAATAGCAGAACTTTTTTAAGGTAGGGTGTTCCTTTGACATGACAAAGGGGGGAGACCAGTTTATTTTTATTAATGTAATAACATCCACATACAAAACCCTTCCCTCACCAAAAATGTTATAATTGCATTGAGGTCCCTTCAAAATTCCTCCCCTTCTCTCCCCTTCAACTTTTTTCATTTATTGATTTTCTCGGTTCCTGGAGTACTTGGACACCCTATGTTTGGGTTCGTCTAAACCGGGAAAAGGAGACGAACAATCTGGCCCCTACAGATTTTTTAGCTGGTACTCGCGACTTTGTTCGTGTGGAATTTGAAAACACTGCCTTAGTGAGTTCCATTCCGGAGCCGGGCAAAATTCTATAGGGTTGTGTTTTGCGTGGTGTGACGTAACACTTTCTGATTGGTGTTCGCTGTCACGTGACTTAATGCCTATTTTCTTCGATTTTTTTTTTTTAAATATTAATAATCTTTAACTTTTATGAGAAATAAGCTAGTTTTTTCTCATCTATGTCTCTACATTTATAATTTGAAACTATAAACCAAGCAATTTGTTATTAATGGACACAAGCCTATATTAAAAAAATAATTATGACTATAGAAAACAGCATTTAGAAATCCAACAGTAGGTTTTAAAGAACGTTGCTGCTGTTAGATTAGTCTTCATAACTTTAGACGTGGATACATATTTTAATAACTATAGACTGCCTTTAACCTAATAGAAAGTAACAGAAAAAAATATATTTTTTAATTAATAAAATAATGTACAAATTTTCTATTTAAATTTATTTTCTGAAACATTTATCGCCTTTAATACTAGCACCTCTAAGCGCATTTAAATATATACCTATGGTGTAAATAAAATAACTATTTTTATTTAATGAGTGACCAAGTTCTGATATGATTGGATTGTTTACAGTCACTTTAGCTACGTCTCAATAGTGAGCTGCTATGCAGTTTCTGCTTTTTAATATATTTTAAGTACAACACCGTTTAATAAGATGGGCCAGGGAATGCTTGTATAATATATTATGTATTAAATCACAATAGCGAGGACATACTGTTTTTTTTATTATTTTCTTATTTCTTATATAAACTCTTGCAACATTCCAATATTATAGAATACTGTTTGATTTTCCTTTAGGTATCATATAGTGGGCCATTAACTTATCTTTAAAAATATAGAAAAAGAATCACAACAGTTATGTCCTATCATAAAGTGATAGGCACACGATAAGAAAGTGAAGTCTGATAAATGCCTTTTCAAGATTACCAACACTGTATATTACACGTTGCCCGTGGTTTTACTGGAAGAACGGTATTTAAAAATGGGTGTCTGTATTTCAATGGACTGTGGGGAATGTGACCTTAGTTGCGGTCCTTGTTGTGTTGCGCTTGGTGCTTGTTGTGTCATGTGCCTATGTTGCAAGTGCTGCTGCGAGGAAGAACGGAAACCTGATAATGTCGTCATTATACAGCAAGCTCCGCCACCACAAGAAATGCCACTTTTAAACCAACCATACCCACACCCTCCACAGAGTTATCCACACCCTCCAACCAGTTATCCATATCCACCTGATGGTGGCTATCCAGTCGGATTCCAACCTCCCCAACCTCATGGCTATCCGCAACCCCAACCTGTTGGTGGTTATCCCGGATATCCACCACATCAGAGCTAGTTACTTTTATAGAAGAAATGGATTTTACTTGAGGTAAGGCATGTGACCTGAAAGCTAATTACTTATCATTGATAATGATTATTTTAATAGATTACAAAAGACTAAATTAAAAGAAGAAACTTTATTGCCGGGCCCTAAAACGAATTCGGCACAAGTTATAGAAACAACACAGCACAGTAAAGAAACTTACATACCTACATTCATGAAAATATTACACTAACTTCATGACACATGTTTTTACCCGAAGCTGTAGATAGAACCGTATTACATGCCAACATTTCGCCGAATATAATTTTAGTCACACTTACGTAATAAACATCAAGCCTATTGACGTCAACCGAGAATATATATTCCTTCTTCTTCTTCCTAGTCGATCCCTCACTGCTGAGGATCGTGACTTCCTTTCATCCTGTCAACCATCTGTTTACATCGGCTGCGATCAATCGCTCGGTGGAGTGTCACACTTATTGGCATTTCTAGCTGTTCATCGATCTGGTATGATCATCTTCTGAGTCTTCTGCCACTGGGTCTCTGCCCTTCCTTCCGGTCCAACACCATATTTCAAAGGCATCAATTCTCAGCCTATCAGCGGTTTTGATGCTCCATCATCGCTGTCTTCGCTAAGCCGATCCGTCTACTTATTTCAGTTTCGCAGCTGCCACCACCAGTAATCACAGAGCCACGATACTGAAACTGGTCCACCGTTTCGTACTCCTGCAGAAGGTTGGTTCGCTCTACTGACGCGAAACGGTCTATTACCATCAGCTTGGTCTTCGATTTGTTAATGGCAAGAGCCATTTCTACTTCTGATGAGGTGAAGAGGGTGGTGTCATCTGCGTAGCGGAGGTTAGATATGGTGACTAAACCTATTTTGATACCCCTTTCCCAGTTTTCAAACGTTCGGGGCATTATGTACTCACCATATATATTAAATAAAATGGGAGATATCACACATCCCTGTCGAACGAGCTTGAATCATATATTCCTTAATACATACATATTATAGAAAAATAACACCTTGTCCTTGTCGGGGATCGAACCTGCGACCTCTGACTTAGCAGTCAGGTTCGATGACCACTAGACCGACAGTTCCGTATGTTATTACTCTTGATGGCTTTCGACCAGACGAAACATTAGGTAATTCAATAGTAGCACTTATTAAGTGGCCTAATGCCCTAAAGTGTATACAATTATGTAACGTATATCACCATTTCGAACTGATAAGAGGTTCCATACGCGGTATATCGATCAAGATAGTAATTAACACAGTTTGTGTTAAGCCCATTTTCAAATGTCCTAGCGCGCAAGCCCAAAAGAAGAGTACCTTTTGTATGTAAAGACTGACAACCCTACTCAAAGAAAAGATTCTCCGACAAGGCTGGGTCACCAAGCCTTCTCGTCGGGGGGGATCTCTCGCTACCGGCCATTATACGCTCCATGGGCGGTAGTGACAGATGTTTCACCGCGGTAGCATCCTTGAGGCGGCGGAGAGGGCCCGAGAGGACAACCTCCAATCGGGGACTCGGACCCAATCCGTTGACAGCGAGTGCGGCCGCTCGTGGGCGGGACGGGTTTTCCCCTCCACCCGCCATAATGGCCAGCCGCGAGGATGGGTACGTAGGCGTGTGCCGGACGTCGCCTAAATAGATAATGTACCCGATGGTGGTGCCCACGCCGTTGCGGGCAGGCGCTAGGAGGGGTCCGGATGTCTTAATAACAGCAGTTCCCGGCTCCCTCCTATTACAGGCACAGAGTGGCACATAGTGTTTTTTTAGTCGGTCCAATTCCGACACACCACCCTGCAGTAAACCCCGGCGGGGTGACGGCCCGAAGGGTTTCCACACGTAAAAAACAAACCTGAACCGCGGCCTAACATAATTAGCAATTTTATATAGTTCGTTCGATATACATATGTCTTAACTAGATGGCGCTGATTTGCTGTAATTGACATATACACTACTTAGATATAATATATAAATCATTATATACTCGTACACAATTGTTTTGTATTTGTATTTAAAAACAGTTATTTTAAATAGTTTATGAATGTTTCCACCATCCGCGGTCTTTATTAAATTTGTTCGATGATCATATATTTAGTTATTTTTATTATATTAAAGACGTTAATCATTATATTAATTATCAGCACGTACCTAATGTATACACTTTTCAAAGAGGAGAAACCTTTAATAAATCCTTTTAAAGAAGTTGAACTGACTTCAAGCAATACTCACATAGAAAGATCTATATGAAATTAAAGTGGGACCATGTCGGCACCTTTTGAAAAAAAAAGATTTGGAAAATCCGTCTATATACAACGGAGTTATGCCCGAACATATATGTCAAAGTCTAACCAACTTTCTAAAAGTTTCCAGTCTAAGAGAAGGTTATCAATTGGGATGTTAATAAATGTTTTTCATCAAATAGAGGTTTATTCATCATAATTATAGCGCTGACCGTCTTTTCAAGAAAGTTCTGATAATTTTATTGATATTTCTGTTTCAGGTTGCTGACGTAGCATACTCCACCTGCACTATCTACGGAAGTGAATCATCTCGTAACTTCGTATACACGTAACCGTAATGGCTTTGCATAGTTTATAATTAATTTTAAAAGTAGGTATTTGTTATGTTTACCTAGTTTAATATATGTGTAGTCTAGTAGTATAAGAAGCTTTCCTCAGGAGTCTATCGTTTATACGAATTAATCTAAGACAAAACTGCAAGCTAGATGACGCTATTGGTTGTACGACATTCTCTCTTATATCTTTATAGTTTTTATAAAAAAAAATACGTTTGTTTTAAATGATTTTCTGTACGTTAGACTAGAAGCACTTTGTTTAAGTAGTTCATCTGGCATATAAAAGAAGCAGAATGTATACTGAATCACTTCAAATTCTGTCTTGAATTTATAAAGATTTTTAAAAAAAAATTAAAAGCGTGCATTCCTATTTTAAAATAGTTACCGCAACAATGGTTTGACAAATGAAAATGTATTTTAAAAATAGATAAGAATTAATATTGTCTACCTGTGTCGATCTATAGTGCCTGTTTTCAATTGTAATATAGCACAATTCTTTTGTACAGAATCATGCTATTAAGATTAAAAGAATATAACTGGGTTTTATTAAAAATAGGGAATTAAAAAACAAATTAAAAATAAATAAAAAAGAAAGAATACGAACATATCGCAGTCCCCGACGAACAAAATCGTAATAGAAAAATGACAATTTTACAGGAGCAAATAAAAACTGAATATCTTGAATACTATCAAGACTAAAAAGATGATTCTTTTATCAAAAATAGGGAATATTTTTTTGCACTAGATTTTTACAAAATTTTTATCATACATTTTCTTTATCAGTAAGAAAATTGTGAAAATGACCATTACTGAAATAAGCTATAGAAAAAATTAACGCAAACTAACTTTACGATAGTGTTCGACTGTAATCACAAATCGGTGTTGCTGTAGTAATCGTTCATTATGATATTGTTCCATGGTAAATATGAATATACTTTCTATTCGTAAAATGACATTGCAATCGTATTCGATGATATAACTGACTTTAATATTACGGTAAACACAAATTACATGCTTATTCGATGATCATTTTTAGGTATTATGAAAGGTAAGCAGCAAAATTAACCATTTCGGTACCTATGTATAAATAAAGTTTTTATGTGTATTACTTTAAATTTGACATTATTTATCTATTTATGTTTTGATGCATATTGTATTAATTTTACAGGGTTATTTGTAGCACTGTAAATTGAACCTTAATATTGTCAGTTTATAATCTAGCGAGTTTTCAATTGGTCAAGACATACAATCCTTACTAATCTTATAAATGCGAAAGTAACTCTGTCTGTCTGTGTAGCTTTCACGCTAAAAGTACTGAACCGATTTACATGAAATTAGTACACAGAAACCCTAGAGCCTGAGAAATGACATATACTACTTTTAAGGGTTGTAAGGGGTCGAAATAGGGGTTGAAATGTTGTATGAAAGTATCGTCGTTGCTTGGGATTCACTAAAATGTTACCCAATGTCACTATTCCATGCGGACGAAGTCGCGGGTACACGCTAGTTGATTATAAATTTACTTTTTAATGGTGACAAATTAAACGCAAAAATTATCAATTTTTTATTATTATAATATGAAACAAAAATTAAAACAAAAAAATTACTGAATTTAATTTTTATCTATATCTTCTTGTTGTTCTTCAGGTATAATATCGATATCTACATAATTTAAATTACTATAAAAACTGTGATAACTTTTAGGGATGGCCTCACTTTCACACAAAGACTTCAGGTCAGCAAACAGAGCCTTGGTGATAGGTAAAGGGTGGCTGTAAACATTTTTGAGTGTTTGTACATCAACCTGGCCAGGGACAGGTTTCCCTCCTCGTTTGGGTTGGTTTAGTTGAAGTCTTGTATCCAACTCGAATGAATCATTGTCGAAGTCATACTTATACTGTAAAATTGTTAGTTTTAAATGAGAAACTCTCACCTCCATCAATTTCGACCACTGAATTTTTCGGCCTTGGGTGTCGTTTAACCTTCGATCAACCACAGCAATAGTTGCTATTGTTGATCGAAGCGTTTAACCAACTCTTTCCACTAATAAGATTCTGTCATTTTTCCATCGAACAATATGGTAATAGCCGCTTACTCTAAAATGTTGACTTTTGAGATTTGGTAGGTAATAGGTTTTTGCGTTATTGATCGTGTAAATTTTTCACTTATGTTATACGTTGAACAAAAACATAAAGATCATTATTGAAGCGATAAATCCAAAAGTATTCATCGCCCGATCATAAAAACATCTCAATGATTGTAATAGGGTGTGTAGATAACGAATATTTAATAAAACCGATTCTATCGTAATAGCGATTACCATAGTGTTCGTCGGGGACTGCGATATATAAAATAAAACACAAAGATCATAACTCATGTTACAAAATTCTACAACACTAACGCTAACTTTGTTTTAGTTTTAAAAGTAAAAGTGATGAAGAATATTTTTGTCTTTTTTTCGTAATCAAATTTTTATGTAGAAACTAATAACTATGAAACAATCTACCGATGAGATTTTTTTTTTTGTTAAATGCTGTTATACCACCGTCAATATTGAAATGTTTTTGGTGAGGTTGATTTTTTTTTGTACAAACGTACAAAAAAAAAATCAACCAAAAATTAGTCTAGTATAGTAGTTTAGTAAGCAGTAGTTATATATTTCATACTATTTTATTGCTTAATTTTCGGAAATAAACCGAGGGCGATCCATAGGGTAATATCTAACTTCAAATGACTTCGATCAAATAAAAGTATAATGTTTGTATATGTCATTTTATTAGTATAATAATTTATATGCTTGTGATCATCATGCCAAGAAAAATATGTCAGGACATAAGTTTAGAGTTTCGAATATGCTGTTTATGATGATAACACACATAACTCTGGATTTCTAGACATTTCTATAATGTGTGTTTTAAGGCCAGTGTGTTTTAAGGCTTGGACAGTACTACTCAAACTTAAGTGCATGCATAAAATTAATATAGCTTAGACGTCTGTTTATACTAATAACACCAAGGTTAGAAAATAAAGTAAGACTCAATATTAAAAGATCGATGAATTATTTTCATGAGTGTTTATAAATTGAACTCATAATACATTGACGACTGGATGGCGTAGTGGTTTGTGTAACGGACTGCTATTCCAAAGGTCGCGGGTTCGAGTCAAACATTTGTGTGCATGAACATTTGCTGTTTGATTTGGTCTGGGTGTCTCTATGTATAATATGTATGTATTTACAAAATAAAAAAAAGTATATATGTATTTATATCAGTTGTCTAGTACCCATAGTACAAGCTCTGCTTAGTTTGGGACTAGATGGCGTTGTGTGTATGTGGTAGAATATTATTATTATTATTATTATTGTGTAGTTGGATGATGTCGACCTATTTTTCCGTGATTATTTTTAAAGCTGAAATAATATTAAACCATACCTATCTTCAGCAAAACTTTCTTTAAATGTTAAATTCGACCGTCCACCGTCTTTCTATATTTTATTTGTTTAAACTTAATAACTAATTTGTAATCTTGTAATGGTTTTCTTTTTTTTTAAAGACAACTCCCGCGCTAGGAATATATCCTGTCGATAACGATAAGCAACAGTACTGATTTTCATGCAGTCTGAAGGAGAGAAAATAGTGAACTTAAAAGATAAATACTCAAAAATATTAGACTTTATAAAACGTGAAGATCCCTTAAAATGGGCGGAAACAATGAAAATTACATTTAAACGTGGCAAGAAGGAAAGACAATTTATCTCAGTTGAGCTTAATTTTAAAATGCCCGACAAAACAAAATTCTTTACTTTATACTTTATATTTCTTTGAAGTGTTTTACATGATATTATGTAATCAGTAAGCCAAAGAATTTTAATACCCATATATGTAATATCATTGCTGAATTTTAATATGTACATTTTCTTGATAATCACTTTAATCTTGTTGCATGTGATTAAAATTTTTGATCGAAGTTAGTCGCTTCTTTACGTATAATTTAAGTACCCAGAAATAAGTAATAAACTGTACTATAATATAATTTCTCAACTATAATCACATATTAGAGTTTTGACAATTTACTAGAAATGATAGAAATATGATATATATTTAGAAAAGACATTTGAAGCGTTTAAAGGGTGTACTGTAAATTTCTTCGAAATCCTTCACCACATTGCCGGTACAGTAAATTAAAGTTTCCCTAACTGTGAGTGTTTAATATAGTTACCTATAAATTCCCCATCGGGGATATAGTGTGTATGTAAGCTGTGTATACGACACTTGCGCATACTGCCACCCAAGATACATGCTAGCTGCCTAGTTAGGGTATCGGTCTCAGTACCTAATTTGGAAACTAGTTAATAATTGTGCTTATCTTCAAGTCTTATGTATGTAACTTTTGTGGAAAATAAATGATTTTAGCCTTCTGCCAATCTTTTTACACCTGTAGCCTGTGGACTAAGTTTACGCAGAGGGCATACAACGACCTGCGTGTCCAGTATAATAATGCATTCAGGGTGCTTTTGGGGTCGCCATGGCGATGTAGCGCGTCAGTCATGTTCGCAGAGGCACAGGTCGACGGTTTCACCGCTATAATGCGGAAACGTTGCGCCTCCATGCTGGTGCGTTTGCGCTCCTCCTCCAACCGCATCCTAAATGTTTTTTCAGATAGATGGGACTCTTCCTTTATTCGGAGGTGGATTTCCATTCACGTAATTTTTTTTTTTTTTATAATAGACGAATAAATATCATTCAATACTAACACTAGTTTTTAAAACACATTGTTACTAACACTATATGGATGTAATAGTCCGAAATAAATAATTTGAATTTGAAAAAAAAATTGAATTATTTTTATTATTAATTTCATAGTCCTGCAAATAAATGAAAATCTGCGTTAACTAAATAATATGCGATATCTCTTGTATCTCTAGATTAGATTAATATTTCAGACTGAACTGTGCTACATATGTATGTATGTACATCTTTTTGATATGGACTGAGTAATAATACTCACGTGTGTTTATTTTAAAGGAAAATACAGAAATATTTACATCAGTACTTTCTTAATTTAATAGTACAAGACAATGGGGATTTGTATATCGGTGAAGTGCTGTCCGGATCCAGAACCTCAACCAGACTCCGTCATAGTGGTAGAAAATCCACCTCCTCAAATGTACCCCCCGCCATCCTATTCGTTTCCGCAGCCACCAGACCCAGTGTTGGTAGCAGATAATAATTTTTATCCAGGCGATGGCTATCAGGGGTATCCTCCGCGTCAATAACCGCTATTAAAACAAAATGGATTTGTATTGAGGTAAGTCCTGCTTGTACTCTCATTTTACAAGAGTTACTTCACGAACATTTAAAATCCGATTTATTGAACAAGTTCATTATTTCTTTAGGACGGACGGGATTAAATCTCCGACGTTTAAATTCAAATATCAACATCCTTAAGATTAGCATTTGATCTAACGAGACGATTAAAAAAATCCTTAATATGTCAGTTTTTTATCAATTTATGAAACTGCGATTATGATAATTGCATAACTTTATAAAAATACTGTACCTTAAGTAAGGTTAAATATAAGGCAAAGTAAGAGAAGATTATCGTGCACCTGCGATTTTTCAATTTTTGATTGTATGTTTTTTTGTCCATGTTTTACCATTTCATAAAACAAATGTAGAGTTATAATTTGTATCGCATTATTTCAGTGTTTGGCATGCGTTCTCCTAGTCGTTAAATGTTCTAAACATTAATGGATTGCCACTGTATAGCATTATATGCCATAATAAGGCAAAGTAAGATTAAATCATAAATTTATAATACGTATTGTGTCAAAACTTTATATTCCTGCACTTTTTCTATTTTCATTCTTTCACTGTGCTCATAAAATTTTCTTAAAATATATATCTATGATAGAGAACGGAGGAGAGACGTAGCACGTAGCTGCCAAATGGAAATGTTACACCTAGTGGTCTAGCTTTATACAAAGATTACATTTATTTAGTAAGTGAATCAAAATAACTGTCAAGACCAACGTAATTTCATCCCGTACTTAAGACAATTTGATAATCTAATACTCAAAGTCTACTACTCCAAGTTTTATTAACTTTCGGCCCAGACTCATCCGCATTCTAACTGATTTTGTTAATCAAATTAGTCTCAAACATTAGATATCTTAAATCCAAACCTGTAGGAAAACTCATGTATTTTGCACTCATTATTTCTATTGAGAGGTAGCTAGGGTTGCCCCATGTACCAAGTTTATATATAATGTAAGTAATCTTTGCTTTTGTTCCAGGTTAAGTTTCTACTTGTTGCTGTTACTGTTGACGAACTTCTTAGTCTGACTGCTAAGCCGGAGGTCGTGGGTACTATTCCCACCCAAGACAATTATTGTGTGTGAGCACAGTCATTTGTTCTGTGTCTGGGTGTAATTTATCCATAATATGTATCTATTTAAAAATATATAAGTATGTTTATCAGCAGTCTGGTTAAAATAGCACAGGCTCTGCCTAGTTTGGGATCAGACCGTCGTGTATGAGATGTTTGAGGCACATTATTATTATTATCCCTCACCTATACCACAATCAATGCAATCTATCTCCTCCGTGTATCACTGTCGCGTTAAGCCACAATGTTGCGGGAGGAAGTTAGAAATGCAACATTTAAATACATGAAGATTTACGTAAAGGTTAGGGTTCTTTCGTTTTTACAGAAATTATCGATTAGCCTTCTTTCTGTAAGGTTCCAAAAGATCCCCTATAGGCAGCACCGATGGGTGGTACAAATACTTTGATTTTTCCAATTGTAAGCAAGATAAATTATCTATATTATACAAAAATGTTAGGTTGGTTTGTGTACGCGTCAAAAACTCAAAAAGCTCTGCACCGAATAAACTCAAATTTTGACACAATATGCAAGCCGCTTTAAAGATCATTTTGATATATATTTTTACATCAGATTTGTTCCTCATTCCTCATCAATTCAATGAGCACAGCGAAGTGTGGCAGGGTACAGCTTGTACTTTATAAAAGTAGAATTAACAAAATATCATGGGCCTGTCGTATGTACCTTAATTTTCATAAGATAAAGATGATATTGTTTATAAAGATGGTTTACATATCGTGGTTTACCTGATTCAGGTAATAATAAAATATACTCAAGAAAAGTTAGTTGTTGTGGTCTACTATATATATTGTTAAGTTTTCATATTCCTTACTAATTAATATAAGAAACTTTGATATTTATTTCTCATCAATGATGTTGTTTCTCCACAATAAATGATTTTAATAAATTGAACTGGTCTTTATCCTGATTATATTATCATTGTAATTAGGGTATTTTATTTAAAGGATTGTTACTCTACAGGGCAAAAGTTTAATATAAATAAATTCAGTCATTCTTAGAATTCATAATCGTTTTACTAAATTAAGATATTTTTAAGCTATAGATACTATTATCGATATATTAAGTATATAAATGTTGTTGGTTTGATTTTGAGACTTTTGAGACGACGACAAATTTTGAGACGATATACAACACGCTTTCAATATGGTCTTTATCTATTTTGCGTGTCTGTTTTGTTCCTCGTTTCTCATAAATGCAACCACAATGTGAAGGTAAATGAACTCTACAATGAAAAGATTATATAAAAACATATTTAATTACATTTATTATAGTTTTTCTAGATGTTTCTATTATTTTTAGATGAGTCTTATTCGCAGTCTTTAAAAATACTCGTGTAGTATAATTTAATTGGCGCAACCTTGCAATCTATATTTTTTGGCGCTCCTATGCTGTGTAGTTCTGTAACTGTATAAATATTGTTTTTGTATATTTTTGTATAAAAATTATGAATTTAAGGGTGTTTTATTTATTAGTGATATAAGCATTTTATTACGGCATATTTCTTAATCTAATCTATTCAAGATCATAATCTAACACGTAATCATTTTATACATTATATATATCACAATCATTTTACTTTAAAAAATTACATAAACAACAATCTCAGTGTACATAGGATGTTAAAATTCTATACCGTACTTACTTATCAAATCCATTTATTTATTTGTTTTTGCAGTTAAATCATTCACATATATTTTTGAAATAAGTGTGCCTATTCTAACAAATCAAATGAAAAATATCAAGCTAGGAACTCCTAGGGCATGCTTTTTAAACATCTAAGTTATAGTATACTCGGGGTGTCAGGTTAAAAAACATGTTTATTCGATTCTGGATAGAATTTAATGAAATCTGGCGGAAACTTTCTAAAACACCTACGTAAAATCAACAGATGAACAATTTTGATTTTAACTTTTTTTGATACAATGTTTTATTGTCGAGATATTGCGAGTTAGCTGAAAACAACGGTTTTCAAAGTTGAGACGTCTGTACACGGGTTGTTCGGTCAATGGCACTGTATGGTGCAACGGTGTGGGCGACGGCTCTGACTGCCCAGAATAGGGCGCACCTTTGGCGTCCCAGACCGTATGGTCGGTTAAGACGACGGTCGACGGAGTTGGTAAGTGCTCGTCGAAATATATCGGCAGACGACTGAGTTCCGTGCAGGTAGCGGCAGTTGGCCCCTATCCGAAGAAGTACGCGAGTGGCGTGAAGCCGCTCGTCGAGCCACGATAGTTCGTTGGTCGTACCAGCTGGAGGCTCCACGTGTTGGTTTTGCCGCCATGATCCAGCCCGTCATCGTCAAGTGGGCAGGACGGCAGCACCCCCTTTCCTTCCGACTAACATAGGTCCTTAACGGGCACGGCTGCTTTGGGTAGTACTTGCACTCGGTCGCTAGGACGGAATTGAGTCCTGCCTGTCACCACTTGTCACCACACGCTGGCAATGCCCGGCTTGGGCGTCGCAGAGTCGGGCCCTCACTGCAGTCATCGGTGGAGGCCGCCATACGCTCCAAGGCCAGTAGGGTTAGTTGCTTTCTTTCTGTCATCCTTCTGAGAGAGGGCCCGGGAGGACCCAGCTCGCCGCCATCGAACCGGGCAGCGGAGGCGCGCTTATCAGCGCCTCATGCCGCCCTGAGTGTGGCCGCGTGTGCCGGACGTCACCTAAATAGAGAATGTACACGAAGGACAGGCGCTAGGAGGGGTCCGGATGTCTTAATAACAGCAATTCCCAGATCCCTCCTATTACAGGCGCAGAGTGGCATAGCGTGTGATTTTCGTCGGTCTGATTCCTGTGGAGTGACAGCCCGAGGGGGTTTCCACACGTAAAAATAAAAAAGGGTAAGTCCTTTGCAAACATTTGAGTACATAGGTACTTACATACAATCACACTTGTATTCCCTAAATAGTAGGAGCTTATTAGGTACCTATAACATAGTCACCTATAATTTAGCTCTTCGGGTGTGGTCCCGTAGTAGAAGACGACCCTCTTGCATCGGACACTTTAGGCACGTTTAAAATGATTGGTATATTGAAAGTAAAATGTTGGTAAGGACGGAATTCGTATTTAGTAACAACACATAATGTTATAAAAGGTATCCTCGTAGCATCACTACTTTACTACGAGAATACCTTTTATGATATTTGTGAGATGAGAGTAGATCGGATCTGAATTGTTTTTGTTACGAGAATTGACCTTCTTGTCATTAATTACAAATAGGTATTGTTTATACCTACTTCACAATACTTCATCCCATGGGTGTCGCACGAGTCAACTAAGGAAACAAACTACGCAGGACAACAGCACTGCAAAGGGAAGAAAAACTTGAAAAAAGCCTTATTCCAACCCATCTGACGAGCGTGGTAGAGTAGGCCAAAACCTCCTTACGAAGAAGAGGTTATGTCCAGTAGTGCACTAGCAAAGGCTGTTGATGATGATGATTGTTAACAATTAGAAAACATTATTATAATTATAAGATTCGTTGCCTCTCTACTACAAATTTTCTAAAAAAAAACCGGTCAGGTACGAGTCGAACTCGTGCGCCGCGGGTTTCGTTCCTACCCAGGTTTTACGTAGATTTTCGCGAAAATTTATCTTAATTTTCAACTTTTTTTATTTTTTGAAATTATTCCTTTATTAGTGCTGTAAGACGTTTCTTTTTTCAAATTTCGTGATTCTAGGTCAACGGGAACTACCATATAGGTACTTCCGGTTGTCAATAATTCAACCTAGAATTGTCAATTTTTGTTAAAAGCAAGGTCTTACAGTACAAGTAAAGAGGAAATTCGGGAAAATAAAAAAAGTTAAAAATGAAGGTAAATTTTGGTACTTACAAGTTTACGTGAAAATCGAAATTCGCCCATATCTTTTTATCGTGTTGACTCAGGACCTTGAAATTTATACACCTAATAGGGACCATAAACCTAGCAAATTGAAATTTATACCAAATACTGAGGTATTTGGTATAAATTTCAATTTGCTAGGTCTACCCGTTCCTAAGAAAATCGGTGGTGACACACGGACAAGAAAGTGATCTTATGAGGGTTCCTTTTTTACCTTCTGAGGTACGGAAAATAACTAATTAACTATTTCTTTTAAACCTTGAATATTATCCAGGTAGGAGAGCACTAAGGTACTCTGCCTAACCCAAATATAATCACAGAACTGTCTAAAGCTTAAAGATAATTATGGTTTTTGCAGTGGTATTTTTCTGATGTTATACTGATTACTTTAAATATTTAAAATAATATGGGTATCTGAAGGATGACTAGACTATGTATCAAAAGACTAAGATCGTATATTAAATCCATATCTATTTTTTTAAATATTACAATTTAACAAAAATAGTTGTCACATATGTACGTTTTAAGTTTTAGTTTTTTGTACTGACACCCACCATTAACCGAAAATAAAGAGGGTCTCAGTTTGACTACAACTTTTTAGTTCTAACTCTATTGAACCCTTATACACTAGCAATCTTTTCAGCTTAAATAATAAAAAAAACAAATAAGATTTTGTGAAAACATATCCTAATTTGTTGTTTTTTTTAACTTCTCGGAGTTGTACTATTATTACTCTTTCTGTGGTAGTATTATTTAATTATTAAAATCCTTATATACATAGTCTAATATAGATTTTCGCTGTACAAAAGTTGAAAATTTTTAAAATATTGTTTTATACAAAGAACGATGCTAGATATACCTTTTATAACAAATTTATTTAACCTTAGTAATGCTCGGCGATGTATATTGACAATGGTGTGGCGTATTAGTTATTTTTGTTAACTTGAAGTGTTTTAAATATTTGTATTTTTACAGACGACAGCACAGAGAATGTATATGCGTAAGTGTAGGGTAAGGAATGTTTGTTCGTTTGTGCAAACCAATGTTGCCATTTATCTCCAAAACTAATCGTCCGATTTCAGTAATGGGTACGTCCGTACGTAATTGAAAAAGCTCCGACTTAACCAGATTATGTAACGAAAAAATAATAAACGTAAAAGCTTTATATAATAGAGTTGATCTCTCTTGCGAAGTCGTTCATATAAACAATGGAGTATCAGTTTTCATAGCACTTCCTTACGCGCCCATTTGTTTCTCGAAGATATACTTAGATGTGTCAATAATAAATAACATATTCAGGTGCCTATGAACTTAATAAACAGCCAAAGAATATCTGTCGGTTTAGTTGAAATTTGACATCTCTATGTTAACTAAAATATCCCATATATGAAGATGTGTTACATTATGTCGTCGTAAAACATCTTCAATAAAAATATTCACGTTACCATAAAATTGCAAAACTTTATTCTTACATAATTAACACATATATTACATAATTAAAAAACTTTATTTCGTTACATAATCTGGTTTCGTCGGGGGTTTTAAATTATTTTAACGTTTTTCGATTACCTCAACCTTATTCGCGGGTTTTGTCAAAAAAATTAATTTTAATTTTATCAAGGGCGTCTAGCGTCGTTATATGTAAAATAATATACTTATTATCATACTAGTAATAATATTGAAATATCTGGACATTTTAAATTAAGAAAACTAAGTACTCTCTACAAATGATATAGTGAAACTGTGACAGTGTTCATCAAAATGATAATATGTTCACCTCAATACCTCGTTTAAAAAGGTATCGATGTCATTTACTTTCTACGTACCCTATGTATTATATAATATACAACGATCGCACTCTGTATAAGCTGATGCTATAAATTCTAATGGTTTTTCATTGGCTGTAAAGATAGTGCCCACATTTAAACGGATTATGACTGTTTGCTAACTCGTTCTTTAAAAGTTATCTTTTTAAAGAGGAAAAGATTGAAAAAATGTCATATCTACTCGCACTTAATTATCAGAAATGTTGTACATAGTTTCGATGGAAATAGTATAATGTAGATAAAGTTAGCGCATTTGTTTTTATCTTTATGACGTATCTGTCCTAAAGTAAGCATTATTTTTGGATATTCTATATAATATTTTGCTCATTTTTCATTAGGATGTATTTGTCCCACAGTCTTTTCGACAGATAAAAAACTACTACTTACTCAGGTGACATTTTGATGATGATGACAACTGGGTAGTGTGGACAAGACAAATGTCGAGCGACAATGTCTCACAAAGCGATGTGTATTTTCGGCATGTGTGTTCTCCTAATGAATATAGTTTAAAGCCCTGTTTACATAGCTTTTTTCCTGCAACCTTATTGTTAGCACGCTGTGTTGCCGCATGCCGCTGGCCTGCGACATCTACCTTCTAGTCGTGGACGTGTCAATTTCGATCTTCGTATGACTTAAATGTCCTTCGCGCGCGTTCCGCAAAACTCATAGTACTAACTCCACGGGTGACATCTCAAATGCAAATGGGTAGTGACCTTAACATTTATTAATTAATATTGTTTCATGATCACGTTGTAACATCTACCCTGTTAAGGAAAATGCATGTTTACAAAAATGTTATAAAAATGGCTTCAGTAAGTTATTTAAAATGAATAAAAAGATTTTCTTTTGATATTATCTATGAGAGATAGTGCTCTTCACTCTGATATTAAAGTATTAGAAAGTACACAGTAGTGATTAGGAATTAATTTTTGATTCTAAGAATGTTTATTTAAAATATAACAAGAGTTTTTATGAGTCATAAAACATTAGTCAAGAAAAGTTGCACAAAATATAAATAAGATGACAATCAAAAGAAAAGCTTTAGCTCCGTCAGTTTACATATTTTCAATATGTGGGTCTAAACCTATTTCAGTTTGACAAAATTAAATAGCTTAAAGTTTAGCTACGATAGGAATGTTAGAATCAAATTTATATGTAATATCTTATATATAAAATTCTCGTGTCACAATGTTCGTTCCCGTCCTCCTCCGAAACGGCTTGACCGATTCTCATGAGATTTTGTGTGCACATCGGGTAGGTCTGAGAATCGGCCAACATCTATTTTTCATACCCCTAAATGGTAAGGGTGACCCATCCCGATTTTTTTTTTGTTTTGCAATACAACGTTTGCCGGGTCAGCTAGTATTATATAAAATTCTCGTGTCACGGTGTGCGTGGTTGAACTCCTCCGAAACGGCTCGACCGATTATCGTGAAATTTTGTGTGCATATCGGGTAGGTCTGAGAATCGGCCAACATCTATTTTTCATACCCCAATTTTTATTTTGTCATTGTTTTTTGAAATAATGTATGTGGCAAAACTACGTTTGCCGGGTCAGCTAGTCTATATATAAAAGTAAATTTAATTCAAATAGAGAAATTTGACTGACAATCTTCACGTACTGAATTGTCACCATTAGACGAAACTGATGTCTTCTGGCAATGACGCATGCGAGAAACGTCGAGTTGTTTTGGTTCGTGTAACTGGTTTTACATACTGTTTGTGTGTAGCTGGGATTGTTATTTCACTATTTATATTAGAATATGACATTTAATAACGCTTAAACTAAGCCTACTGCTGTTTTTTTTAACTTACTGTATAATATATAATGTCAAAATATTTGTTTAAAAATAATAGTATTTACAGACATTCAGCATCTAGGTTCAATAAATATTAGGTCCTTACATATGAAATTGGTGTTTTGTACGGGTGGAATATAAAGTCAATTTTTTTAGTAAAATAAATTTAATTAATCAAAGTATGCACCGTTGTTATCTATGCACTTTTGCCATATCCTAGGTAGTTCATTGATCCCTTTACTAAAAAAACCAAGAGGGCGAGAATCAATAAACTCTTTGAAGGCGGTTTGGACTGCCGCATCGGAGTTGATTTTTTTTCCTTGTAAGAAGTTGTCCAAATTTCGGAAAAAATGGTAATCTGTTGGAGCAAGGTCCGGAGAGTACGGTGGATGTCGCAGACATTCCAATTGTAGCTCATCGAACTTAGTGGTTGTTTGTTGTGCAGTGTGTGGTCTTGCGTTGTCGTGAAGCAGCAGTGGCCTAGAGCGATTGACCAATCTCAGTTGTTTAGCAGCTAGTTCTTCCTTCATGGTTTGCAGTTGCTGACAATAGACATCTACCGTAATCGTTCGGCCAGATTTTAGAAAGCTGTAGTGAACGACACCGGCGCTAGTCCACCAAACACTCACAAGTAACTTTTTCTGAGTAAATTTTCGTTTAGGGCAGGATTTGGGTGGGTCTCCAGGGTTCAGCCATTGCGAAAATCCCTTTATTATTGTGTCGGTTGAACAAAGTAACACAGCAGTCAACGCGTGTTTGCAAGTTCGATTCACTCAATTCATGACGTACCCATCATTCAAGTTATTTTACTTTCCCGGTTTGCTTCAAGTGGATTAATACAGTTTTATCACTTACCCCAAAACCTGCAGCTATCTCTGAAATGCTTTGTGATGAATCCGCTTCCCCAATAGCCTTTAATTCTTCATTTTCCACTTTAGTCTCCGGCCGTCCACGGGATTGGTTCTAAGGGTCAAAATTTCCAGAACGAAAACGTTGAAACCAAAAACGTACCGTGCTTTCTTTTGCGATAACAGCGCCGTACACATCGTTAATCCTTCGAGCTGTTTATGCAGCACTGGTGCCACGGTAGAACTCGTACTCGTAAATATACCGATATTTCATGTTTTATATGCATATTTCATGTGCGGTAATAAGCGACGCCAAAGAAAAAAATAATGAGGAAAAAACAAACGAATGACTGTTTTTAAAACTCAAATGTACCAGCTAAATGAATTTGTAAATTTGAATTTGGAATTCTTAACCAAAGAGGAGATATTTCAGATCAAAGTGGTCAGTACTACAAAACGATAATTTCATATGTAAGGACCTCATACAATGTTACAACTTAGTAACGACACACTTAAATTAAATTTTTTTGGATACTTAGAGGTATTATTATCAGTCATATGCTACAGTTACCTTTAAAAAGTCCGACAACAGTTTATCTATAGGATATCGACTAGTACTCGGGTTATTGAAGTCTGATGGTAGTCACTCCACGTTGAAATCGAAGTTCAGCCGTGGCGTAGTAGATCGAAGCGGACGCTAACCTAGTTTAGGCAAAAGATTAGGAGGTTGAAGATGCTACAGTTACCTTTAAGTCTGGTTAAGTTTATAGATAAGAACTAGCAAAGAGATCAGGTCACCTCACTTTGTGGGGATGTTGATGGGTCGTGTACGCTACAGAAGCGGCGGAAAGAAAACAGGAGGATAAGAGACTCTTCCATGGGGTTTAAGTGCAGATTTGAATTAAAATATATATATATAATTATGCGATAGTACAAGAACCAAAAAGGAAATGTAAAATAATATTTATTTATACATTATGTGAGTCATGTTGTTTTAGTCGGCCATCATTTATCAATATTTATCTTATCGTACACCAAACTGGAACCAATAGCGTCAGTAACGTTAGTGTCATATTAAGGACTGTTGCAAAAAGATATAAAACATTTGGTACCTTGTCGTTTCAGTGTGAAGATATCTTCAGAGTTATCAGAAAATATTATATAAGGTAAGTCTATAGTAGTGTTAGCTTTAGGTACATATTTATTTCATTCTTGATGTTTTATATTGCCTATTCTATAACATAGGATAGGCGATAGGTATGGTAATTATCAAAATGTCAATATTACAACAGATATAGACTGTTATAGACAAGTTGTTCAATATATGTTATCGAGTAATTTTTTTTTTTGGCCTTGAATGTTTTATAAACATATCGTAACAATACATAAAGATCAATAAAGGTATTGTGACTATCTTGATCATACATTATAATTACATATAAAACTCCCGTCTCGTATCCCCAAAGTCGATAGAGGTGTTCATATTTTATCGAATATAATTTTAGTTCCACTTACGTAATACGTTCATTACGTGGGCAAGCCAATTGCTGTGAACCGGGCTCATATATTTCTAAACGAATATATATAGGTACTTACAGACTTCTTAATACATATTGAGAGGCTGATGTCCAGCATTGGTTATGTTGATGTGATGATAATGTAGATAAATTACACCTAGACATGTTCATCACATATTTTCTGTTTTGGGTGGAAGCCGACCTCACGACCTCTAGTTTACCAGTCAGTATCGTTAACCACTACACCTTTTGATATAATAGCTTATACTAAAACATAATGTAGTAAGTACGTATTTTAAGTTTTCGACTTAAAATTATGCGTCATCTATTTGTTGTAGGTACAAAAATGGGTTGCTGCTGCAGTTCTGAAGATGACAGACCAGACAATGTACAAGTAGTAGATAATGTACATTTCCATTCTCCACCACCTGATGGCGTACAAGTAGCCCACGACATGGACCCTGGACAAGCTGGATGGGGTAGATGATTCTCAACATAACGGAGTTCAAAAAGTATCTGAGATAATACATAAAACTAACAAAACTAATTTGAATACTGTATTATGAAACAAACCTGATGAGAAATTAAACTAATTGATATACATTCGAGAAGATACTGATGCAACTAAAATTCTAGTAAAGGGAAGTAAGTTAAAGCAGCATAAAGCATTTTACAAGCCGCTGCACTTCAGTGGTTTGTTAAGATCTTAAATTTTTAAGAGTAGCCATACTTTTAACCGTTTCAAAAGTCGAAATTGATGCTAAAAGAATACTTATTATATCGACGGAGCAATACTACAACCACTACGATTTTTTAAGATATTGGATGCTTTTTGAACATCTTCATTAGGTATTTGTGTAAAGTGTAATTTATTTGTCATTGTTGTTATTTGTATGCGTAGAATACGTACTGATTTTTATTTGTACACTTAAATAAATTACATTTATTTGTAGTACTTGCTCTGTTATTTATCCAAAATAATACAAAAAAACAGTTTTTGAAATACAACACTTTTTCTAATTAATCCCTCCCATACGCCCACCACTGTAACTACACCAGGATCAACAGTGACTCACTAACACACCTAGTTATGACACTCGGGAAGTCCCGGGGGAAAAAATTAAACTGTCTTGGAACCCGAAACGAAATTAATCAGAAGAAAATTGGGGGAGTTTGAAAAATAAATCCATTTCCCTCCTAAGCAAAGCGGGAGACAAACACACACACAAACGCACATACACACGTGCACACACATCTGCACAGACACGCATACCTATACAAGTGCACAGACATGCACACACCCGAACACACACACACACACACACACACACACACACACAATTTTACAGGTAATCAAAGTTTTTATTATTAATTTCAAAATATATATATATATGTTATTGTTAACATAAGACCATTATTCGTAAATTATAGAGCATAGCACTCAAACTTGTAACCGCGGACTATATACGGTTTTATTAAAGTATTCAATTAGAACTGAGCACTGTAATCCTTAAACAGGTTATCTAATAACCTAGCAAGAAGCACAGCACCTCAACCACTACAATTGTAGCTTTAGTACCCACTAAAAACTTGTACTGGGTCTACCAATAGGGATGACCTGGTTTTGACAGCTCATAGCGGCCATGTTTGATGAATGATCTTTGACGTCTCTTGACATTTGTGTTCAGTAAGGTTTGCCATTTTATCATGTCAAAATTATTACGCTTGGAAATTGTCTAAAATTATTACGCAAATTCGCGTTCTCCTACCGCTACAGTAAGAGCGCTTCGCGCAAAAAACGGTCGTCATAGTGCTTCTTCTGTGCGCGCTATAAATCGCATAATAACAAAATTTGAAAGTGAATTCACTCTCCACGATACTGCTGTGCCTGTGAGAGAAAGAAATGCCCGTAGTGAAGAGAATATCGCAGCCGTTCAGGCCAGTGTTGATGCGAATTCAAATCGATCAGTTCAACGCCGTTCACAAGAGTTGGGGCTTTCTCCAATGACCACCTGGCATATTTTGCGGTTGGATTTGGGCCTACACCCATACAAAATTGTTTTGGCACAAGAATTGAAGCCATCCGATCATTGTATCCGTCGTGAATTTGCCGTTTATGCACTGGAAATGATGGAAGCCGATGAAGATTTTCATCGTAAAATCATTTTCTCAGATGAGGCCCATTTCTGGCTCAATGCATTTGTTAATAAACAAAATTGTCGCAATTGGAGTGAGTCAAATCCACGTGTGGTTCATGAATCACCATTGCATCCGCAAAAAGTAACAGTTTGGTGCGGTTTATGGTACGGTGGAATCCGTTTGAATTGGTCCGTACTTCTTTTAAAGTGACGAAGGAAACCCTGTTACTGTGAATGGCGAGCGCTATAACTCGATGTTAACCGAATATTTCTTTCCGGAATTTGGTGATATTGATGCAGACGACCTTTATTTTCAACAAGACGGTGCACCATCTCACATTACTCGAGTGAACATGGAATTATTGCGTGGAAAGTTTGGTGAGTCGTTAATTTCGAGAAAGGGACCGATCAGTTGGCCACCGAGATGTTAAATCACACATTTAACATCTTGAGACTATTTTCTTTGGGGTTACGTTAAATCTAAAGTGTACAGCAATAATCCAGCTACAATTCGTGACCTAAAAACCAACATTCGACGAGCTATAGCCGATATACCGGCCGAAATGGTGCACCGCGTCATCGAAAATTGGCGTGAGCCGTGACCGTCTGCAAAAAGAGCCGCGGCGGTCATATTATTTAAAACATAAATTGCATAAAATTATCTATCAAATAAATCAATCGGATGCATTTTTCATAAAAAATGTGTGTTTTATTCAATTTTTAAACCAGGACGTTCTTATTGGTAGACCCCATATACTTACCTTGTACCGCAATTTTAAGACAAATGGAGAGTATTAATATATTATTACTGAAGATGATACTGATACTGAAAAATAGGCATACACCCTTTTAAACAGAAAGCACCACGGCTACAAAATATTACGGGTCCTAACTGAGCGATATTTGATGTCTATAATATGTATGGCAGAATCGCCTAAACGCACGGAAATTCGCCCTAGTTGACACAAGATCCTCATAATATACCGTCCCAGATGTCACCTGTAAGTATTCTGCATTATATTACATTCATTGTACCAAAGACTTCATTCCCCGAGGATATGATGGGTTGACTGCTCATAGTTAGAGTCAGGTGTTGAGCATTGACACAACGGAAACTCGACTAATTTAAATGATTTAGTTTGCTCTTAAAGTTACCATGACCTGTAAAAAATTGAGCAATACACTAATCGACCTCAAGCCATGTCCTTGACAACCGTTCGCGAACCCTTAGATGATTCGTCCCAGCGTTTTTGTCATTTGTCTATGAGGTCATTATAGACATCCGACTGCTGTTCAAGCAATCTTTCGAAGCGATTTCATCGCGATTTCGTGCGCCCATTTGCCCATTCACCCCATTGAGGTATCCAAACATCTATTGGCTAATCTCTCAAGCCCCGCCCTAGTATCAGATTCCACCAGTAATAAGCCGTCATCAGCATACGCGTTCAGAGTACATCCGGATGGTATTGGTATCGCAAAAAAATCGTCAAAGCCGATATTCCACAAGTATGGACATCCCATTGCAAGCGCCTTCGACACAGAATGAAAACCAAGTCTTAATTTCAGCAACAGCATTGGCCACCATGCGTTGTCGAAGGCGCCAGATATATCTAGCCAGCACGTATTGAACTTTTGACTCTGTGACAAACTTCCTAACCGATATAACAGCGTCAGTTGTCGATTTCCCCAACGTAAATCCAAATTGTCTATCATGAAATTTGACTCCACCTGACAGAAGCCTGGGCACTACAAGACGTTCTAAAAGCTTTCCTAACGACGGTAACAATGTCGGTCGGTAGGATTTAGGATCATCCGGTGGCTTGTCGCCGATTTTTGGTATTATACAGATATTACCGAATCGCCATATACGAGGAAATATTCCTTCCGCAATGCAACGTTTAAAGACAGTGAAAATCGTGTTACCCGAAAGTTTACAAGCTTCTTTTATCATTTGGTTAGATATTTTATCATCGCCCGAAGCCTTGTTTAGCGGCACGGATCTAATACTGAGAAATTCGTCTGAAGATCGAAGATCTAGTTGTACTACATTATTACTGTTACGAGCGGGGTATCCACAAAATTAAGGATGTCGGTTAATTACTTTTATTGTACTGTATTTACAAACACTCACTGTAACAAACAAGAAATCACCATATAACTCGTAAGTCGCACTAGAAATTCTTTCGATGTTAATTCGCTGTTTCGTAAAACGATACTGTCTGAATTTACTAGAATGATCTCTAGTATTCGATAGTCCGTTCCAGACAAATAAGAATATTCCAGCATCAGTTACGCATTACTTGCAGCGCCATCTAGCACTGTAAGTATCAGAATGAATAATCACAATCTCAGTAGTTGTACTTTACGTGATACCAGATGGCACTGTCCTCCACATTCCATACAATTGAATCCTATGGCGCATCATTACGCAAGGAAAATGTCTAACTTTTGGTCTAAAATTAAACGGTTAAAATAAATCACTTCTGTTGTAATAATTTAGTTTGATCCTCTATTTGTTAACGAAAGCAGTTTGAAGCCTAAAGTCTAAGGCATGTTTTTAAGTTTGCCGGTTTGTTACCAGCAATCAATGGAATAATATGACGAGCCTGTTGGTGCCTGTTCTAGTGGTTGGTGACCTTGAGCTAAACCCGAGGTCGTGGGTTTAATTACTACTCAGGACAAATAATTGTGTGTAGAGTACGATCTTTTATTCTGTGTCGGGGTGTAATCTATAATATGCATGTGTTTAGAAATATGTAAGTATGTTTGGTTACCTTAGTAGTAAGCTCTGCCTAGTTTTAGATCAGAATGCCGTGTGTGAGATGTGTGAAGTTAGTATTATTATCAAATATTTTTCTCGTGGATGTAGAAACACTTCTTAGTAGTAGTAAAAAGTTAATCGAAATTTTAAAATACTAAAATTTTGTCACATGGATAAAGAAGTCTTATATCGATTTAGATAACAATTTGAACCTGCCTTTGCTACAATGTTACATGAGTTGTTATAAGCCGTTCCAAAAACAAATATAAAAATAGATACGACTCTTATCTATACAGATAAATAAATACCTAATTATGAAACAACTTCAAAAATTGATTTCACAAGTGAAATATTTGACAGCGAATTATTTCTACAATTTTACTTAATTAATTTTAGAACAAAAGTTAGACATTGTCCTTATACAAGAACAATATCAGAGCGCTCGCTTGCGTCGTAATGTAGTACAGCTT